CTTCAGCTGCTTCTGTAGGTAAACAAATGCACTTCAGCTGCTTCTGTGGGTAAACAAATGCACTTCAGCTGCTTCTGTGGTTAAACAAATGAACTTCAGCTGCTTCTGCAGGTAAGCAAATGAACTTCAGCTGTTTCTGTAAGTAAACAAACACACTTCAGCTGCTTCTGTGGGTAAAAAAAACACTTCAGCTGCTTCTGTAGGCAAACAAACACACTTCAGCTGCTTCTGTAAGTAAACTAACGCACTTCAGCTGCTTCTGCAGGCAAACAAATGCACTTCAGCTGCTTCTGCAGGTAAAGTAACACTTCAGCTGCTTCTGCAGGTAAACAAATGCACTTCAGCTGCTTCTATAGGTAAACAAATGCACTTCAGCTGCTTCTGCAGGTAAACAAACGCACTTCAGCTGCTTCTGCAGGTAAACTAATGCACTTCAGCTGCTTCTGCAGGTAAACTAACGCACTTCAGCTGCTTCTGCATGTAAACTAACGCACTTCAGCTGCTTCTGCAGGTAAACTAACGCACTTCAGCTGCTTCTGCAGGTAAACTAACGCACTTCAGCTGCTTCTGCCGGTAAACTAACACACTTCAGCTGCTTCTGTAGGTAAACTAATGCACTTCAGCTGCTTCTGCAGGTAAACTAATGCACTTCACCTGCCTCTATAGGTAAACAAATGCACTTCAGCTGCTTCTGTAGGTAAACAAACACTCTTCTGCAGCTACTGTAGGTAAACAAACATAAATTATATTTAGCAGCCAGTGATAAACATTTCCCACCAATGTTTTGTTTGTGGATGCAGTAACGATAAATCGGGCTGATTTTGTTTCTCACTTTGATTAAATTATTTATTTATTACATGTTTTTTGGAATTTGCAGTGAATATTTTTAGAATAGCTGAAAGGATTTAATTGTTAGATAAACACAGAAAATAAATTTGAGCATCCACACAATAACAGCTAAAGGGAGAACGAGGAACATTAAGTCTGTTGGTCACATTTTATTCTTCTATAAACAACTCTTCAGAAATCAGATGTTTTTGTAAAAATTTGATTTCAGTTCATTTAAAAAAAAAAAATCTCAATAATAAGTATAATTTCCTGCAGCCTCCTCTCTCCTGTTCAACCAAAACACATGAATAAATTCAGCTCTCCTTCCAGCAGGAGGCCTGAAAGGACGAGAATACACAAAAGCACAATTCTCCTTCATCTTCCTGAATGATGCTCAGGTTTAACGCTGAAATAAGAAAAATCACATTTAAACAAACATAAATCTACAGTGTAAATGAGACGACTGCAGCATTTGAAAGTGGATCAGTGTTTTTCCTGATTTGTTTCCCCTCCCCTTCCTTCATTAATTAGTAGTATAAAGTCTAAACGGAGCAGCAGCAGCATCACGATGAGGACAGAACAACCGGAGACGAGTCAAACTTACAGAAATAAATCAAACACAACAATGAGAGTAAACATCCCAGCATCTCTGCTTTAAGTCAACACATCTGTCACCACCTCCCCCCTCCTCCTGCATCCCATCTGCCTCCTCCCCCATCTCCACGCCCAGCCCCACCCCCGGTCCTGCTCTCCCCTCCGACTCACAAATGGCCCGTTCTGGCCCGTCCCACAGCACTGAGGTGGACTGTACCACTGCGGGTGGGGCGGGGGGAGGAGTGCTGCAGAGAGACTGTCCTCCTCTAATTCCTCATCCTGCCTCGCTGGGAGGATGCTCCGAATAAACTCCTCCGTGGATTTTTAATGGAAAATGATTTATCTTGTGAAGTTAGGAGCTTCAGTTTGACTCTTCCTGGTAAGAAAAAATATTTTTAAAGTTTAAATAATCTCTGATTTAAATTAAATATTGTTTCATTAGATTTTAATCCAAAATCAAGTATTTCAAATGAAAACGGTATGAAAATAAATAATATCAATGCCAGACTGCATGAGCTCTGCCATCAGAACTTTTGTCTCTGTTAGTTAAAAAGAAAAGACGTAAAAATGAAGGGGCTGTTTCAGAGCAGGAAAAAGGATGAAAATAAATCGGGACATAGTAAGTGTTTGTTACTAATGAAGCTTTTATTCAGCAGGGATTAACCAGTATTCTGTAATCCCACACCAAAGCAAACACTTGTCTCCAATCTGACAGCATGTGTGCAGAGCCATCAGGAGGGTTGATACTGTTGACTCATCTGCAGGGACGAGGCGGGAGCACAAACACCGTGAATAAAGCTTTTAGTTTCTGTGAAACAACTTCTCTGCTGTCAGACCAAACACAAACCTGGTTTCACCAGTTCAGCTCTGATTTCTGCTCTGGGCGCGCTTTAAAAAGGTTTTAAATGTAACAAATGTTTAAACACTTCAGGAAAATCCGTCCATTCAGCTTGTTCAGGACATCCTTACAAGATGCACAAACCACCTCAATTGGCTCGTTTCGATTTGGAGGAGCAGCAGTTCTACTGAGTTTCTCCTGGATAACTGAACTTCTCACCCTATCTCTAAGGGAGAGTCCAGCTACCCTGCGGAGGAAACTCATTTCCACCGCCTGTATCCACGATCCCATTCTTTCGGTCACTACCAAGAGCTCGTAACCATAAGTGAGGGTATGAACATAGACCGGTAAACAGAAACCTTTACCTTATAGCTCTGTTCCCTTTTCACCATAACGGACCAGTACAGTGTCCACAATACTGCAGATGCTGAATCAGTTCATCTGTTGATCTTACGCTCCATTCATCCCTCACTGTGAACAAAACCACGAGATTGTTGAACTCCTCCACTTGAGGCAGAACTTCACCCTCGACCCAAAGAGAGCAATCCACACTTTTCTGACTGAGGACCATGGCCTCAGATTTGAGGTTATAACTCTCATCCCAGTCACTTCACACTCGGCTGCAAACCGCTCGAGTGAGAGCTGACGATCACAGCATGATGACCCCAAAACGACCACATCATCTGCAAATAGCAGCGGTGGGATCCTGAGGCCACCAAACTGGACTACATCCGCTCACGGCTGCACCGAGAAATTCAGTCCATAAAAGTTATGAACAGAATCTGTGACAATGAGCAGCCCTGGTGGAGTTCAACTCCCACCTTGAAGGGATCCGTCTTAACTACCGGCAATGCAAACCAAACTCTCGCACCACTTGTATAGAGATCGAACAGCCCGTAGCAATGGGCCCTCAGTCCCATACTCACGGTGCACACCCCACAGTGTACCCCAAGAAACGCAGTCAAATACCTTCTCCAAGTCCACAAACCACATGTAGACTGAATGGGCAAACTCTCATGACCTCTCAAGGACCCTAGTGAGGGTAAAGAGCTGGTCTAGTGTTCCACGGCCAGGACGGAACCCACATTGTTCCTCCTGGATCTGAGGTTCGACCAACGATCGGACTCGCTTCTCCAGTACCCCTGAATAGACCTTACCAGGGAGGCTACGGAGAGTGATGCCCCTATAATTGGAGCACACCCTCCGGTCCCCATTTTTGAAGAGGGGAACCATCACTCCAGTCTGCCCATCAGCGGCACTGCCCCCAATGTCGCAATGTTGCAAAGGTGTGTCAACCAAGGCAGCCCCACAACATCCAGAGCCTTAAGGAAATGAAGGTGAATCTCATCCACCCCCCAGAGCCCTGCCACTGCGGAGCTTTTTAACTACCTCTGTGACCTCAGCCATGATTATGGACAGACCAACCCCAAAGTCCCCCAACTCAGCTTCCTCCATGGAAGACGTGCCAGTGGGATTGAGAAGGTCTGAGACTTATTCTCAATTAACTCAAGCTGCTGCCCCTGAGAGTTTTCTTCGGAACAAGCAAAGATAATGGATGGATGGATGGATGGATTAATAATGATTCCAGACTGGGTTTTTTTCTCCTCTCATATTGATGAAGAGGCTGTTTGACTGCTTGTTCATCAGCTGCTTAGGTGAAAAACTGATTTTATTCTGAGACTCTGGTTCAATCTGATAAACTCGGATCTCTCATGGCAGAGTCAGTAATAAGATGAAGTGAGCCGGAGTCTGTTTTAATTTCCTGTGCTCGTTGTAACTTGTAACACCCCCCCCCCACCCCCCACCCCGGACTCCTTGCTGAGTCACATTTACATTTTGTTTTTATCTCATTCCAGCTTGTTGTTGAGGTTTATTTAGTTATTTTTGGACTGTATCAGACTGAAAACAGAACAAAATTAGGTAACGAAATAAATTATAATGTAAATATTTGATAAGATTATATCCTTTACACAGAGTGGGTGTGTTTGGAAAGCTGTCTGATGTTTCTGTGATTTGTCTGAGCTGTAAACTGATACAGCAACGTATCAGTTTACAGGTCTCTTGTAAATGAGTCCTCGAGGCTCAGTGAGACTAACCTGTATAAATAAAGGTTGAATGAATGAATCAGCGAGGTGTTAATTCCATCTCCAACAAGTAGATGAACAGAACCAGAACAAAGTGCAGTAATAAAACCACCCTGATCACTGATGGTGCTCAACTGGTAATGGACTGTGTTATCCAGTTGTGTTATCACCAACAGCCTCAGAGGGACGAACAAACCACAAAGCTTCTGTTTCTGTGCCAGTAATCTGTTTAACCCTGTGATGAAAACCCTACTCCATCTAATGTTTCAAATCAAACAACGTTAAGTTTTAGGCACCATGGGCATCTGTCGAGCAGAAATCTAATAATGCTTGTAGACAGATGTCAGCGATTGTAAACCTGACAGTACAAGAGTCAAATGTTTGTGCTTCATAGATGTGCAGCGATAAAACCATCATGTTCAATGTTTGAGTCAACGCAAGTAATTTTCCAATCGGTGAGCATCGAAGCACTCCTGTTAGTTCAGTTCAGTTAAATGTATCTTCACTCAGCTTTGAAATCAAACCTGCAAATTCTACACACACAAAAAAAACATAGAACCGGGCTACACAGTGGAGCAGCTGTTTAGCACTGCTGCCTCACAGCTGGCTGGCTGGGATCTTTCTGCATTAAGGTTACAGGATCTCATCATGCATGCATGGGATTTCTCTAGGTTCACTAGGCTCCTTTCGCAGGACAAAAACATTCAGTTCAGCATTTAATTGCTCTGTGTTGTTCTGAGGGGAGAGGCTGAATGGTTGGTTTTCTCTTCGTGGTCCTAGGATAGACCGGCAACTGGTCCAGGTGTTCCTCGCCTCTCGCCCAATGAACACTGGAGATAGACACCAGTTTACCACTAATCTGAACAGGATGAATGGTTGGATGAATGGAAGAATGAACAGATAGATGGACGGTTGCATGAATGGTTGGATGAATGGATGGATGTATGGTCACATGGATTGATCGATGTATGAATGGATGAATGATGGATAAATGGATGAATAGATGGCAAATGCCAGTATAGATGGATGGATGAATGGATGATGATTGCATGAATGTTTGGATGAAATTATGGATGAATGGATGCCAGTTTGGATGGATGCATAGATGGATGGAGGAATGAATGGAGCAATGAATAGATGGCTGGATGGAAGAATGAATGGATGGTTGCATGGATCAATCAATGTATGAATGGATGAATGATGGATGAATAGATGACAAATGCCAGTATGGATGAATGAATGATGGTTGCATGAATGTTTGGATGACATGATGGATGGATGAATAGATGGTTGCATGGATGGATGGATGGATGGTTGGATTAATGAATGATGGATGGTTGCTTGGATAGATGGATGGATGGTTGGATGAATGAATGGATAGATGGATGGATGATTGGATGAATAGATGGATGTATGGAGGGATGATGGATGGTTGCATGGACAGATAGATAGATGGATGGATAATTGGATGTTGGATGAATGGAGAAATAAATGGATATTTGGATAGACGGTTGCATGAATGGACAGTTGGATGGTTTGTTGGATGGATGAATGGATGGATCAGTGTTTGCTGTATGGACCTGACTCTGAAAGAGGCTGAACTTCAAAACAGAATAAGTATTTATAAAATAAAACCTCCAGCCATGAACTGTGAAACTGTTGATTTGTGTGATGGTTGTGCTCTGAGGGCTACACTGATGTGTTTTTCTGTTTGCAGGTTTTAACACTAAAGACAGGACCTGGAAGAGTTTTGGACTTTCCGCCCTGCAACAGAACCTCATCAGAAACTCCTCAAACTGTTTTACCGTATGATGACACAGGTGGTTCTGTCCACCATCACCTGTCAGGCAGAAGTCTCAGGTTAACGGAGTCATCAGGTTCAGCTAAAAGATCAAACAAGATCATCTGAGAATAAAACACCAGAGCAAAAGAAACCAAAGAAGGATTTTACTTGTTTTATTGTTAGCCACTAGCTTGTTATCCAAGATGGCTGACCCCTACCAGAACAACGTATACCATCAGGGAGGAGGCGACAGCTACGGGACTTACGGGGAAGGAGGAGGCCATGATGGATACGGTTACCAGGCCGACTATCCATCTCAGGAGGAGGACGCAGCGAGCGACGCGACAGAAGGGCACGATGAAGAGGACCAGATGTACGAAGGAGAGTACCAGGGGATCCCACATCCTGACGAGGTGAAGGCTGCTCAGAGAGCTGCACGGTGAGGAGCTGCGTGGGTTTCAGTTTTACATGCGGGCTCAGACTTCAGTCTGTGTTCAGACAAATCACTTTCTTACGTTTGGAGTGTCTTCTGCTGTAGATCAGCTGCTGTGTTTGGTTGGGCTCATGGTCTTGTTAGAACCAGTTTGGTCTAAGCTTCAGTTGTTGGACAGATGGACTCATTAGATTCCAGAACCCTTTGATCTACCAAGGAATTCCCGGTCCACTCAGTGACTGACAAGAGCCCAAACCATCAGCCCTCCACCACCGTGCAGTTGAGGTGTTTTTTAAATGAATCCTTTGGACTTTTGTAATTGCTCTTAACACTGTATGGTCTGACCTTAGGGTGAGTTTTCAACATTGTTCACAGATGTTTTGGCTGTGAAACAAACAAAATATATTATTTTAAGGTTGTATTTTTGTAATTTTCAGTCGGTAATCAAAGTCTTCCAATCAAAGGGAGTGGTGGCACAGAGGTTAGAGAAGGTGGGCGGTTCAACTCCTGGTACCAACAACATCAAAATGTGGGTGGGTTAGGTGAAGGACCCACACCTGCCTCCACCCTCATTTGCCCCACTCTGGGCCCTTGAGCAAGGCCCTTAACCCCCACCATCTGCTTCTCCAGGCACCCTAGATAGCAGCTTCCTGCTGCACACAGAGGACTGTGGTAGCTCGGTGGTCTGTGGTTGTGTCAGGAAGGACATTCAGCATAACAATAACTGTCATGTCTTTGTGCGACTAAGTTCGCTGTGGTGACCCCTGAAGAAGGGAGCAGCCGAAAGAAGAAAAAAAAAAATCAAAGGCTTCCAACCTTACACATAAACCTTTAAATTCATCGTGTGCGTTTTGTTAAACAATCCCTGTCAACACTCAGGATCCTCCCACCTGATACACGTCGGCTTTATTTTAGATGCACCCTCCTGTAATGTGGGATTATTTAACAGTTTGGGTTCTGACGCACAAATAAAATCACACCAATCCTTTGGAACAAACCAAGACTTACTGATGCTGTGTTCCTGCATACCCAGTGCTCCCAGGGCCTGTTCTGTTGGTTTCATTAATTAAAAATCTGTTAATTTTCCACAGACAAGCTCTGCTCCCTCTGCCTCTGTCTGATGTTGGGTTTCTGTCCTTCATCAGATCTTCTGTGTAAAAACACACTAAACGGGATCTTGTGTTCCAGAGCTAAATCTCGAGCGGCCGGCAGCTCGGTGTCTGAGCTGGAGGAGCTATCGGAGCAGTATGAGTACATCATGGAGGACTGCGGACACGGGAGGTTCCAGTGGACGCTCTTCATAGTCCTGGGTTTGGCTCTGATGGCCGACAGCGTGGAGTGCTTCGTGGTTGCGTTTGTTCTGCCATCGGCTGAAAAAGACCTGGGTCTGTCCAACGCAGAGAAAGGGATGCTGGGTAAGAGCTTTGCAGTTTCTGAGTGAGAGGTTTTCTGCAAAACAATCCATTCAATAATCATCTCAGTCTTGTACGAAACAAGAAAAAAATCGTATTGTGTACAAAACCTGATTAATAATGTCTGAAAACACTTTGATGACTCCATTCAGTTCAGTAATTACCGTATTTTCCGGTGTATAAGCTGCTCTGGAGGAGTATAAGTTGCATCAGTCAAAAAAAGCATCACGAAGAGGGAAAAACATATAAATCGCATTTATTATGCGTCACCGCTGATCCGTCACATTTATTATGCATTTATTTAATGGCCAAAACAGCTTCATTTTGCCTGGGCAGCACCATCCATCCATCCATCCATCACATCCGGAGCTGCTAGCTCTCCTGCGTTCTTCCACCTGCACCAGCTGAGTGAAGTGAGCACTCAATCCTTGAATCCTTGAATCTTAGTCTTCGACAAAACTTAAAATTATTATTTTTTTTAAAATACAAAAACTCAACAAAACCTATTTTCATTGTGCAAGATTCTAACAATGTCTGAAAACACTGACTCTGATGTGATGAACGGAGTGGCTCATTTTCTCTTGCGGTCTAATTAACTAATGAGCAGCAGTGACTCGGTCCGTCAGCAGCTGCGTACGTCTGCTTTGCTCATTATTGTGAGAGCCTCTGCGTAACAGTCTGTATTTATTAGTCTTGAACTTTGGAAATATTAAGAAATGCAAAGAACGAGCACAGTATGAAAAGTAAGAATAGGACATATTTATAAATGTGGAGAACCTACAGACGTATGTAGCTCAGGTCTTCTTCAGACAGAAAGTGCAGCTTCCTGCTGAGGGATCAGACTCGGTTTCTCCTGTTTGTGTTTGTCTCTCGCCTCCTCTCACTGTTTTCACCTCCACTTTGTGTTTCTGATCTGACTCACCAGCTGGAGCGATCGATGCCCTCCGCTGTCCTCGGGAAGAGCTGCACAGCCTCGACCCGCAGCAAAGCTTTCGCGTGAAAACAGAAACATTAGAAATGTTCTTTGGTTTAAAACCAGTGATGAGTCACACCCACTCCCTCCCCTGCGTGCAGCCATCTGCACCCACGGCTCTCTGGCACCCGTCAGGTTTAAACTTGGCAGAGGCGAAAGCTCCAACAAGTCTGAGTTTATAAAAAGAGCTGAGCGAGCCAACGTGACTCAGACCTCCAGAGTCCACTCAGTCGGACTCTGACAGGAGGAGAAACATGAAGTTCTGTTGGATGTTGCCAAAAGGATGGCCCAGCACAGAAGAGCAACATCATCAGACAAGACTCATGAGGTCTACACTCATCTCCAGGCCAGCGTTCACTCTTTCAGGGATGAAGATGTTCACATCCTTGATAGAGAGGAACGAAGGTTTGAGAGAGGAGTAAAGGAGGCCATCTTTGCAAAAAAAAAAAAAGTCCATCATTGAACAGGGGCGGAGCCTCTGTGTTCAACTGTCCCCCTCTTACAATGCTGTTGCTAGTATCACTCAGCCCCCTGTGAATAGCAAACAGCCATCAGGGTGCTAATGAACGGTCATGAGGCTGATGGTCCTCCTTTAACATGTGAACAGCTAGTTCTGGATGTCAACAACAAACTGGTTGATCCTCTATGAGAAGGTGCTATTTATAAGACTGAGTTTATTACAGCTCCCCAGCCTGATCAAGTCTTTTGGATAAAAGACGAAATGTTTCAACATTTTTGGGGACTGCCATGCAAATGAATGGCAGACACCTATCATTATTCACCTCTACATGTCTACATTTCTATCTCAGTTAATGTGGCCTGAACCACAATGTCTACCCCCACAAAAGTTATATC